ATTCATAATAAAAAGTTCCAAAAAAAAGACAATGTAATTTTTCCATGAACATTTTGAAGCTCCCTCACCGTTTTTTAATCACAAGTACTGTTTCAAAATAGTTTCTTTTATTTGTTCCTTTTGGCTGATAATTATCTGTTATTTCCTGCGCCATGTTTCTTCTCTTTGTTATCCTTCCTGATCTCACAGGAACAAGCTTTGCATTTTTATCTGATCCTTTTTCCTTCTCTCTCTTAAACTTTTAGTCCTCTTATTCAAATTAATGAGTCATCCACTAAGCCAAGCCTTCTGACCTCTTCTAAGAGGAGAAGATGCTGTTCTGGTATTTGATGCCATGATTCACTATAAACACATCTTGGAGGCTGGAACTAAATGAAACTGAAAACACAAGTGGTCTCTGCTGTTGGCAAAAACGGTCCTTTTCATGTGGGTAAACTGCTCACCTTCTTCTACTACAGGGAAATGTTGCAGAAATTGATGCAGTATTTAACAGATGAACTACTCAGAATTGCTTTGTTTGGAATTATATGAATGAAAAAAAATACAACAAAACAACTAAAGCTCTAAAAATCATATCAAAGACTTTTATAAATATGGGCCATCTTGTTGTTTGCAGTACAATTTATTATCAAGGCATAGTACTGGGGCACAGGAATAGGTATTTATTTAACAACTTTATGACCTCCCTTGAGACAGAGCAACTCAAAATGAAAACGTCAAAATGTGTAAGAGCAATAAATATTAAACTTTCTGATTTAAAATGTATAAATATAAAATCTCAGTCATTTCTGGAAACACCTTAAGAAAATCCAGCAACCACGTGTCCACAGGTAGGCATCTAGAACTGGTGGTGTTAATCTTCCAAGCATATCACCTGAGATCCAGCACAATTATTTTTATGTCTTTTATGAGCACATGTTTGCACATCTAGGAAAGAAAAAAATGCGGTTTTATTTTACACCACAATATTTAACTTCTGATTCTATTTAGGGAGGGAATATAAATTTCCTAATTTAAAAAATATTTCTCCAATTAGAACAATTAAATCAGGGTTGTTCATTTCAAAAATTATGTATTTACGTAAGCTGCAAAGTGATTCTCATTTTGAATGAATTTTAACTTCAAAATAATGTTTCTCTGATGTTATAAGTCACAGAACTGCCAAGGGAAATTGCTATTCTTTTTAAAAGATGTAGCTAAATCCTGTTTCTGTTGAGTTATCCTAAGGTAATCAAGAAATACGATCAGTGTTGACTGAATCATTGTGACTAAACATAGTTGGCTATAACATGCAGAAATAATTTATTAGGTATTTTATGTAACTTTCTTCAATGATTGCTTGCCTGCTTAGACTGAAGAAAGCATTACACATCACGCAGATACACAAATGGAAAGGCAACTTTATGTGTAATCATTTCTGCTACAGTAATACCTACATTTTCATATAAATAAAAGCACAGTAAGCTATCATAAATCGAGAAAGCATACAGATGGATTACTTTCCAGAGATAAATTCCTGATTAGGTAGCATAGTGTTCCATCCTGTGTTCTATTGCTACCATTTCTAGCCTTAAGAAAAAGAAAAGGATTTGAAAACTAAATATCTGCAGAAAACAACTAATGTTGTCTACTCACACTGAACAGCCTGGGGTCCTTGGTGTGTGGATGAAAGCCCTTCTTTTTACAAGCAGAAACCTCAAGCATGCCAGCATTGGTGAGCCTGAAGATGCCAGTGCTAAATCCAGGATAAAAGAGAGGCATCAACATTTAGCATCATTTAGGTTTTCTGGATGCTTGATTGGAATGGCAGAAACAAACATTGTCTTCAAATGGGTTGAAAACGACACCACAAAATCGTGATTCCACAGTGTTTATTTAACCTCGCTTGTGAAGACTCCTAGTGGCATAGGAGCCCTAGGGGCACAGTGGTTAAGAATTCAGTTTCCAGCCAAAACGTCAGTGGATCAAACCCACCAGCTGCTCCATAGAAGAAAGATGTGGAAGTCAATTTCTGTACAGATTACAACCTTGGAACGCCTCTGAGGCACTTCTACTCTGTTCTGTAGGATCACTATGACTGGCCTGTAACAGGTTTATTCATTTGCTTGTTTGGGGGTTTTGATGATGGTGATGACAGACCTCAGGAAGAATTCCAGGGTAAGATAATACTGTCTCCCAGCACCTGGAGAACGTGGGAGCGGCAGCAGTGCTGCTCTATGAGCCATAAGGCACAGGGAAGAAATCACAGGTGGCAGGTAGCGTAATGGTTACAAATCAGGTTGCTAACCTCACAGTCAGCAGTTCGAAACTACCAGCTGTTCTGCGAGAGAAAGATGAGGCTTTCTGCTCCCAAAAAGATTTACAGCCTCGGGAACCCTGTACAGGGTTGCTCTGAGTCGGAACCAACTCCACGGCACTTAACAACAACAAGATTTTGATACTGTTTATAATAACAGTAAAGGAGCTCTGGTAGCATAGCAATTACAAGTCAGGCTGCTAACCTCTAGGTTAGCAGTTCGAAACTACCAGTGGTTCCACTGGAGGAAGATGAAGCTTTCTGCTCCCATAAATATTTCATGGAAATCTTTGGTTTCATTGGTAACCCTATGCAGGGTTGCTATGAGTCGGAACCAACTCCATGGCACACAGCCACCACCACCACCACCACAACAACAAATGATGATTGAGTGCTTGCTATGGTACTAGGAAGTATGCTAAGCACTTTATATAGAGTAAGTAGTCTCTGTTGTTGTTGTTAAGTGCCATGGAGTCAGTTCTGACTCATAGCAACACTGAATAGGATTTCCGAGTTGCAGCTGATGGGTTCAAACCACCAACCTTGTAGGTTAGTAGTCCAGTGCTTATCCTATAATGGCACATCAGGACTCCATGAAGTCTCTAGTTGGTAATTAAAAAATTAAGCGCTCAACTACTAATGGAAATACTGGTGGTTCCAACCCACCAGGAAGCACCTTAGAAGAAAGGCCTGTTTGTAAAAAGTCACAGCTTTGAAAACCCTGTGGAGCATAGTCTACTCTGCAACACACAGGATTGGCATGAGTCAGAGTCAATTTGAGGGCAACTGGTTCCATCCACACAGGTATGGACAGGTATTAGGGATGTAGAAGCTGAGGCTCACAATGGTCAGCTATCCTCCTAAAGAATATGTCACTTATAAGCAGCGCTGTGAATTTCAATCTCAGTTGGATGCTTACGTGCATTGTGCTAAGTAAGAATTTATAAGAATCATTGTTTCACAAAACTAAAACGGTTTTGAAGGTAATTAATCTGAGGCTAGAAAATACTTTACAACAGGGAATAATCAATAGAATGAGCATCTCAAAAGGCAAATTGGAATGATTTCTCTCCTAAATTTTATCAGCGTCTAGGTTATGCTAACTGAAGAATGAGAAGCAGTGATTTTACCATTGAGTCCTAGGACTTTGTAAAAGAAGACTGCAGAGATGCTGGTACAGGGCTTCTGGCTGGCCCCAATCTCTTTTCCTACGGGCACTGTGTGTCTGTCCATCCAAGTGCCAATACCTGGCGTGTGGGCACGCTTGAACCTTCCCTTAGATTCCCCTCAAGAGTTATACTTACTCCTTATGCTTTGGCGAACAAACAATGGCAACAGCCTCTGGTAACATGAGTTGATAGGAACAGTGAGTGTGAAGATCAACACTGGATAAGAATGCAGTTTGGGTGGGATGTGTCTATGAAAAAAAAAAAGAGGACAATTTTATTAGGGTAACTGAGGCTTAGTCAAAGTCCAAGACCATTTTTAAGAGAGAGAAAAAAAATGTATTTACTTTTAAAAGTCTAATTTATTAAATAAGAAGCATTCAAAATATTTTGCTAACATAATCCATCCCTTCCAACATTCTGATGATTTGCTTCTTTGGAGTAACTATGACTTTAAGAAGAGGATCCTGGGAATTTTAAGATGAATGTAACTCTCTTGTTGGAAAAGAGGTGGAAATTCATTTGCCAGAGACTTCAAGTAGATTGTCATTTCATTATCCCAAGTGATCTATGAGTTTTGCAGAAGATCCTAAGGCTTAGGGAGTTTAAGTAACTTGCCCTCAGGCACACAGCTGATCACCAGCAGAGCTGTAATAGGAAACTGAGGAACAGAGATATGCATATGTAATACTATGGATATGAAAGGAAAGTTTCCACAAAATGTGTCACATGTTCTTGTGAACCATTTTGTGGATCGCTGTTCCTTCCAACTGGGAGACTAGAAATCTCCGAGTTGTTGAAGGTGTTTGGGACTCAACTTGCACAGCAACTAAATACCTAGATAAGAAAGAAGGTGAGATTCCAGGCTTGGGGCCATAAACAAGCTTGTGCTTATTAGATACAAATGAGAGGTTCAGATCTGAATATGAGAAATGCATGTATTCATAATGACTTAAAATTCATATTAGATCCTACTTAAGTTTGAAAAAGGAGTGACCATTTGGTCATGAAGCCAAAGTCCTGGAGATGCAATCTCTCGGCATGTATCCTGGCTCCATCACTCACTCACCAGCTGTATGACTTTGTGAAGTTACTTAACCTCCTTCTGCTGGTTTCATCACTTTTTTATGAGTCAAGATAGCAACTCTCTGAACAACAGAACAAAACACTCCCCCGTCCTGTGTCATCCTTACAACTGTTATGTTTGAGCCCATTGTTGCAGCCACTGGTTCAGTCCATCTCCTTGGGGTGTCTTGCTTTTTTTCACTGACTCTCTCCTTTGCCTAGCACCATGTCCATCTCCAGGGATGTGTCCCTCCTGAAAACATCTCCAAAGTACATGAGATGAGGTCTCGACATCCTCATTTCCAAGGAGGATTCTGGCTGAACTTCTTCCAAGATTTGTTTGTTCTCCAAGTCCATGGTATCTTCAATAGACTTGCTCAATACCACAATTTAAATGCTTCAGTTCTTTTCCTTATTCACTGCCAAGCTTTCACATGCCTATGAACTCACCATAGCTTGAGTCAGGCTCACCTTAGCCCTCAAAGTGACGTCTTTGCCTTTAACCTTTAAAGAGGTCTTGTGTAGCAGATTCGCCAAATGCAGTATGTGGTTTGAATTCTTGACTGTTGTTTCGATGGGTACTGACTGTAGAACCAAATAAAATGAAATTCTTCACAACTTGAATATTTTCTCTGTTTATCATGGTGTTGTCTGCTGGTCCAGTAGTGAGGATTTTTGTTTTCTGTACATTGAGTTGCAATTCATACTTCACCAGCAAGTGCCTTAAATCCTTTTCACTTCCAGCAAGCAAGACTGTATCAACTGTATGTTATGTTAACGAACCTTCCTCTACTTCTGATATAATCCAGGTTTTCAAATTACTTGCTCAGTATACAGATTAAATAAGTATGGTGAAAGAATACAATCATAACACATTCCTTTCCTGATTTTAAATCATGCAGTATCCCCTTGTTATTTTAAGACTGCCTCTTGCACTATGCACAGGTACCTCATGAGTACAATATCTGGAGTTCCCATTCTTTGCAATGTTATCTATAGTTTGTTATCCACATAGTTGAATGCCTTTGCGTAGTCAATAAAACACAAGTAAACATCTTTCTGGTATCCTTTGATTTCAGCCAAGATCCATCTGACATCAGCAATAATATACCTCATTCCAAGTTCTCTTCTGAATTCAGCTTGAATTTCTGGCAGCTCCCTATAGTACTGCTATGACCATTTTTAAGTTATCTATAAGGTCAGCAGTTCGAAACTACCAGCCGCTCCGCGGGAGAAAGATGAGGCTTTCTACTCCCGTAAAGATTTACACCCTTGGAAACCTTGTACAGGGTCGCTATGGGTCGGAACCGACTCGACGGCACTTCACAACAACAACATAGCAAAATTTTACTTACATGTGATATTAATGATACCATTCAATGATTTCTGCATTCTGTTGGGTCACCTGTCTTTGGAACAGATACAAATATGGATCTCTTCCAGTCAGTTGTCCAAGTAGCTATCTTCCAAATTTCTTGGCATAGACTACTGAGTGTTTCCAGTGTTGAATGAGTTAGTTGAAACATACCAATTTGTATTCCACCAATACCTTTCCTGGAACCATGTTTTAAGCTAATGCCTTCAGTGCAGCTTGGACTTCTTCCTTCAAGACAATTGATTCTTGATCATATGCTACCTCTTGAAATGACTGAATGTCAATCAATTCTTTTGGGTACAGTGACTCTGTATTCCTTCCATCTTCTTTTGATGCTTCCTATAGCGTTCAATATTTTGGCCATAGAATCCTTCAGTATTTATGTCCAGGCTTAAATTTTTTCTTCAGTTATTTCAGCTTGAGAAAGGCTGAGCAAGCTCTTTTGATTTTCTAATTCCAGGTCTTTGCACATTTCCTTATAACACTTTATCTTTTTGAGCTGCCCTTTGAAATTTTGGGGTCTGCTCTATTGCTTCATCATTTCTTTCATTTGCTTTAGCTATTCTATGTTCAGGAGTCCTGGTGTAGTGCTGTAGGATATGCATTTGACTGAAACGTCAGTTTGAACTGCTAGGTCTGAGGTTCAAACTCAACAGCTACTCCCCGGAAACCCTATACAGGGTCACTATGGGTCAGAACCAACTAGACAGCAGTTAACAACAGTAATTCTATGTTCAAGAGCAAGTTTCAGAGTCAAGCTTTGCATTTTCTTCTTTCTTGTCTTTTCAGTGATCTTTTGCTTAGTTCATGTGTGATGTTCTTGATGTCATTCCTTAATTCCTCTGGACTTCAGTCACTTGTGTTCAATGTGTCTGATCTGTTTTTTGAGATGGGCTCTAACTTGAGGTGGGATATACTCAAGGTTGAACCCCTGGTGTGGTGTTGTAGGATCACCACTGGACTGAGAACCACCAGCTGCTCTTCAGAAACCTTATCCAGGGTGGTTATGAGTCAGAACCAACTCAATGGCACTTAGCAACAACAACATACTCAAGGTTATATTTTGACTCTCATGGACTTGTTTTAATTTTCTTCAGCTTAAGCCTGAACTTGCATATGGGCACCTGATGGTCTTATCCTTCAGTCAGTGCCTGACCTTGTTTTGGCTGATGGTATTTTCCCCGTTGTCTGTTCCTACTGATGTACTCAAATTTGATTCCTGTGTATACCAACTGGTGATGTCCAAGTGTTTAGTCATTATAAGAAACAGGTATTTGCAATGAATTATTGGTTGATCTTGCAAAATTCTATCATGCCATATTTTCCAACTCCCAATTCCTTCTTTTTGTTTCCAACTTTTGCATCCAATCACCAGTAATTATCAATGCATCTTGATTGCATGTTTGATCAGTTTCAGATTGAAGAAGTTGGTAGAATTCTTCAGTTTCTTCAACATTGGCTTTGGTGGTTGGTGACTAAATTTGAATAGTTGTATTAACTGGTTTTCCTTGTTAGGAGCACAGATATTATACTATCACAGATAGCATTGTATTTCAAGATACATCTTGAAATGTTCTTTTTAAATTTGCCATTCTATTCCTCTTGAATTTATCATTCCAGGTATAGTAAACCATTGTTGTTGCAGTTAAGTGCCGTCGAGTCAGTTCAGACTCATATTGACCTTGCATAGGGTTTCCAGGGAGCAGCTAGTGAGTATGAACTTCAGATCTTGTGGTTCAAACTGACCTTTCAGTTCCAATGTTTTATGCCACAGCACCATACCAGGACTCCTAATAAACAATAGGATTGTCCGATTCAGAACAGCTAATACCAGTCCATTTCAGCTCTCTAACGTCTAGGATATCAATCTTTATGCATTCATTCTTGCTGACTTCCAATTTACCTAGATTCATACTCTGTACATTTCATGTCACGATTAACAATGGATATTTGCGGTTGTTTTTTTAAATTTTATTTTGAATTGTGCCCCATTCGCACATGAAGGGCCCAAAAGCTTTGCTCCATCATATCATTAAGATCAACTACACTTTGAGGAGGCAGCTCTTCCTTAGTTGTATTTTGAGTGTCTTTAAACTCAAGGGACTCATCCTTAGGCACTATAGCAAATAATGTTTTGCTGCTATTCAAAAGGTTTTCAGTGGCTAATCCTTCAGAACTGGAGTGCCTATTCCTTCTTCCTATTCTGCTCTTACTCTGGAAATTCCAATGAAGCTTGTTCATCATGGGTGATCCTGCTGGTATTTAAAAAACCAGCGGCACACTAGCCACACAGTAGGACAAACTGACAATGAATTACTAGTAATGATCATTTTCTTCATAGGACAATTATAAAGATTTAATGGGTTAACCCATGCAAAGGTCTTAAAATAGTGCTTAGAACTTTATAGAAAGGAGTCAAAATTGCTAGTTGTTTTATAATTGCTTCATTGCCATTAGTATTATTTTAACGTTGTCATTATTCACTAAGGGGCATAGGTCCATGCTGCTGCTGTTGCCATGGAGTCAGCTGTGACTCATGATGACCTTATGTAGAATAGAACGAAATGCTGCCCAGTCCTGGTGCCCTGTCCATGCTTCTTAGTATATCTGAGTTCATTGTTGTGGCTATTGTGTCAGTCCATGACACTAAGGGCTTCTGGCAGAGATAATGAAATGCTTTTGCATACAACTGTGGTCTGTTGAAAAAATGCAAGATCTTTAAAATTCTCGTATACTTTTTATTATGGGACAAAGGTAAAGTTAGCTGATTTCTACCTCCAGAAAGATACACATTCCACAAGGAAAAATAACTCTTGGTCTATATAAAGACTTTAGGTCAATTGAGGAATACAAATTATCCTAATTTTTAAAATATAGACTCAGTGAGGGTTTGAGTTGGAATGCCTGACTGCATATACCATCTGGCTCATTGAACATCACTATAGAAATAGAAGCTTCCATGTCTTGGTAAGACATTAAATGTATCATTGGGGTTTAAAAAATGAAGTTAAAGAGCCAAATAAAAAATTGAAAAGGACAGCTCAAGAAGACAAAAACAACAACAACAAACAAACAAAATGTATTTCACTATTGGTATATAGTCAATGGACTAAATTATCAAGTCACTTGAAATAATTGTTTTCTCGTGTGCTATATGTCACAATTTTGCCATAGGTTAAGTTCATTTCATTTTATTCCATTTATGTTTAAAACCTTAAATTCCCTAATAAGTTAAGAAATCAGAAAATGTAATTTGTGATTTAACTGTAGAACATTGTTTTCTTTCAAATATTAATTTACTTCTCAAAAAAGTGTCACCGGGGCTCTGGTGTTGTTGTTGTTAAGTTCTGTTGAGTCAGTTCCAACTCATAGTAAACTTGTTTAGGATTTCTGAGGAGCAGCTAGTAGGTTTGAACTTCTGAACTTGTGGTTAGCAGTCATGGGCTTATCCTACAGCACCACGGCAAGACTCCTATAGTTCTGTGGCTAAAACTAGCAACCTGACCACATAAATAAACAAGTCACACTCACTCTAGATTGAATGCAAATCACATGACATCCTGAGTCCTTCATTTCTGCTAGGGGCAGTTGTTTCTAGTCTCAGAGGAGAGGCTAGCTCTCCATGGAAACTGGTGCTCCCATGCCCTCATGCTAAAGAAATAATGAGAGGATGATGATGGCAGTCTTTGTAAATGAATAAGGAGCCAGGCACTCTCCATGAATGACTTCATCTCAATCTCACCAAAAACTGTTATTTTTGCCTCAAGTTTATAGTTGAGGGAACTGAGCTAAGCAGAAAATGAAGTAACTTGCTTAAAGTTATATAGCTAGATAAGTAGAAAAGACTAGATTTAAAAGAAAAGGTCATTAAAAGTCCAGGAAAGTAAGAAAAGACCAAAATGGAAGTTAGAAGAGATTCTGAAATTTGCTCTTGAATGTAAAGAAGCTAAAGTGACTGGAAGAAATTATAAAGCAAAAACTGAATAGAAAATTTCAAAGGGCAGTTTGAGAAGACAAAGTAAGCTATTATAATGAAATGTGCAATGACCTGGATTTAGAAAACTAAAATGGAAAAACATGCTCAGCAATTCTCAAACTGAAAGAAATGAAGAAAAAAATTCAAGCCTTGACTTGAAATACTGAAGGACTCTATAGGCAAACTATTGAATGATAGAGAAAGCATCAAAAGAAGATAGAAGGAATATACAGTCACTATACCAAAATGAACGTATCAATGGTCAACCATTTTAAGAGGCAGCATATGATCAAGAAGAGACAATAATGAAGGAAGAAGTAGAAGCTGCTCTGAAGAAGAGGCATTGGTGAAAAATGAGGATCCAGGAATTGATGGAATACCTTTTAACTGTTTCAATAAACTGATGCAGCATTAAGGGCATTCACTAGTCTATGCCAAGAAATTTGGAAGCCAGTTTTCTTATCAACTGATTGGAAGAGATCCATATTTGTGCCCATTCCAAAGAAAGGTGATCCAATGGAATGTGGAAGTCAATGAATAATATCATTAATATCACATGCAAGTAAGGAGTCCTAGTGTGACACTGTAGGATAAATATTGGACTAGTGACTACTCTGTGGAGTTCTGGTGTGGTTAATGTGCTGGGGGTTAATGTGCTGGACTGCAAAGTCTGTTTGAACCACAAGGTCAGTGGTTTAAGCTCACCAGCTGCTCCTTGGAAACCCTATACAGCGTTGCTATGGGCCGGAACTGACTCAAAGGCACTTAACAACACTAACTACTCTATTTTTTTTTTTTATATGATAGAAAAAGTACACATCTCTAAATTCATACTTGATAGGTTCAGATGTCACCTAATATTGACTGAACATTTTAATATTAGGACACTAGTACCTTACTGACTATGCAAAGGCATTCAACTATAAAGATCACAACAAATTATTAATAATAATGCAAAGAATGGGAATTTCAGAATAGTTAATTATGAGGAACCTGTACAAAGACCAAGATGCAGTCATTGGAACAGAACAAAGGGATACTGCATGATTTTAAATGAGGAAGGGTGTGAGTCAGGGCTGAATACTTTCACCATTTACTCAATCTGTATGCTGAGCATATAATCCAAACTGGATTATATGAAGAAGAACCTGACATCAGGATTGGCGGAAGACTCATCAACGACCTTTGATATGCAGATGACACAACTTTGACTGTGAGAAGCAAAGATAACTAGAAGCACTTACCGATGAAGATCAAAGAAAAGACTACAGCCTTTAGTATGGATTGCACTTCAATGTAAAGAACACTAAAAATCTCACAACTGGATCCAATAAATAACATCATGATAAATGGAGAAAATATTGAAGTTGTCAAAGATTTCACTTTACTTGGATCCACAATCAACACTCAAAGGACACAAGAAATCGAAGGTTGTATTGCATTAAGCAAATCTATTGCCAAAGACCTCTTTGTGCTAAAGAGTACAGATAATACTTTGAAGGCTAAGGCGTGCCTTACCCAAGTCATGACATTTCAATAGTCTCACCCAAGGTTGGCAGTTCAAACCCACCAGCTGCTCCTCAGAAACCCTATACAGGGTTTCTGTGAGTTGAAACTGACTAGATGGCACTTGCATGAACACCAACATACGCATGTGAAAGTCGGGCAGTGAATAAACAAGACAGGAAAAGCTTTGTGGCATTTGAGTTATGTTGGTAAAGAATATAGAAAGCAACACGGACTGACAGAAGAACAAACAAATCTGTCTTGGAAGAAGAACAGCCAGAGTGTTGCTTAGAATTCTAGTAAGGATGGTTAAGACCTTCTCTGGTACTTTGGACATGTTGCCAAGAAGGGCCAGTTCCTGGAGAAGGACATTATGCTTGGTAAAGTGGAGAGTCAGTGGAAAAGAGGAAGATCCTCAATGAGATGGACTGACACAGTGCAGTAGCAACGGGCTCAAATATAAAATTAGTGAAGCTGACTGAGGTCCAGACAATGGTTTTAGTCTGGTGTGCAAATGGCCCCTATGAGTCGGAGTGGACTAGATAGCACCTAAGAACAACAACAACACATACCTTGGCCTCTACAGGAGGCAGATGGAGTCCATAGGTCCTCCTTATTTGATAAATCCAACCACCTATTTAAAAAATGTTTTTTCAGGAATTTTCTTAAAAGAATCTAATTTAGACCCATAGTAAAGGGTAAGAGAACATTGTTGTTGTTAAGTGCCATTGAGTCAGTTCCAACTCATAGCAACCCTATATATAAGCTTTCCAAGGAGCAATTGATGGGTTTAAACTGCCACTGTCTAATCAAATTGGTTAAAATAGCAGGACTATGTAAAATATTCAAAACTAGCAACTTAACTTCCAAATGTTTCTTTCTCCCTCTCTGTTTTTTCAGATGATAGAAAAAGCACCTCTCTATAAAATTTGTATTTGACAGGCTTAGATATCACCTAATATTGACCAAAATGTTTCATTATGATGATATTAATTACACTTAAGCATGATAAAAATCAGCAACAATTTAAATTAAGCTAAATTTCCTTATGAGGGAAAACAACACATCATACCTCAACATTAATTATTTAAATAGTCTGAAAATGAAAAGGCCAAACATACATGAATCCATCCCAAAGTCAGGAGATCGTGTTGATCTTGAACATTGAATAGTTCTTCTACGTTCTCTACGTCACAATAATCAGGTCCTGCAGACTGCTTTGGTACTATTACGTGGGTGATAGTAAATTCATTATGTGTCTAAAAGAATAACAAATGTATTATTAAAAAGAAAAAAACCTCAACAGGAAATGCTCAGGTCAGTTTTGCTATGAGAGTATAATATGTCCCCTCCAATTGCTCATCATGTCCCTTTCTCCATTACAGTTCAAAAGTAGTGTTCCAAACATGAATATGGATTCTTTGAGAATCTGTTGTGTGGAACTTAAAATACATTTTCTCACAAGAAACATATCATAAACAGGAATTAGCATTCTAGACTGGTCCTTGAAAATATATTAATCAATAAGGTCTTGAGATGGAAAACTCAGAACAAAACATCCTTAGGCTTATTTGGAGGTGGAGATACTAGTTAATCAACATTTCTAAGGATTGTGTAAACTGATGATCTAGCTTTTGTTTTGCTAATTATATTTAATTTCATATCAAGACTTAAGACTTTCTTTCCTTCTAATATGGACTGGTCTCATTAGAATGTCCCATAATTGCAGTGGAAATACTATTTCAGAAATCTACATGGATTTTTAAATTTGAAGACCCATAATATATCATGACTCTAATAAAAAGTAATGTGCAGGCTTTGATTAATCACTTAAAGCAAACTTTTATATTATCTGTGAAATTATATAGTCTATTTTCCAGATAGATACTCCCATTAATAATGACAGCAGTTTTATGAGATTCATCTATGCAAAGTCAGTATCATAAGATTTACAATTCTTAACATGCTTCTATTCTGCTATCCTTATAATAACGCCCGTATTATTAAAAGTATCCCGTCCGCAGAAAGGGTGAAACAAAGGCCATACCAGTTTTCCACATAGGATTCCACAGGTCTCTATCCCTCTTACTGTATTAGACTCTGCCAGCAGCAGAAATTTGTGGCAAAGATCTCTGGGTAAGACTGCGCATCTTAGTCCTTCTACCACTAAATCTAAGAAACAGAAAATGTACGAGCAGCTAAAGCACACATTTTATATCCCATCCGCCAAAACTTATTTATAGTAATTGCTGTTAAAATATATTTCAAAGATAACATCACTGTGTGCCTCACTTTCCACATTTTATTTGAAAGGTTTCACGGTAAACATTGACTAGAAGGAGGATAAAATTACATTTTGCATACACTTTATTAGAAAGGTGGGAAGATGTAAGCATGTTTACATTTCTGCAGTCCAAATCAACTATATGTGTGTGTATGTGTTTTCTTTTGGCAAATATATTGCTAAATGCATAGGTTGCATGTTGTTGTTGTTGTGAAGTGCTACTGAATCGGTTCTAACCCATAGCAACCCTGTATAAGGTTTCTGAGGAGCAGCTGGTGAGCTTGAACCTTGCAGTTCAAATGGCTTTGCAGTCTGGCGCATTAACCCACAGTGCCGGATGTACTTACCCCATGTTATATAAGACATAATCTTTTTGTATTTACCATATGTCACTCATGTTTTTATGGAAGCTGGTGATCGGTAGGTATAATCACAAAGTTTTCACAAATAAACAACTATAGAGTAACTTGTAAAATGCTCACCTATTATAACTTTTTAAAAAAATAAAGTGGGAATACTAGCTCCACCTGACAGTGTCTGCTGGGAAGAATTCTTCCTTTGCTTTTGGAAACTTCCCAGGACTGATCTAGCTCTACCAAGCAGCACTAATTGTTGACAGAAAAATGTAATCCATTAGGAAATTAACTACGTGTGTGGATGGGAACCTTCTGGGCCAGAGATAATGCTAAACAGGCTGTGCACAGGAGTCCTGTAGGATAAGCCCTGGATGGCTAATTGCAAGGTTGGCAGTTCAAACCCACCAGCTGCTCCTCGGAAACCCTATCCAGGGTCACTATGAATTGGAACCCACTCAACGGCACTTAACAACAACAACATGTTGTGTATGAGCATTTCATAACTGAGCAAAGATCTGGACCAATGATTTTCTCAGCATCTCCTTTCCTTTCCAGTCATGTACCCTTGGTTAAAATACATGGATAAAAAAGTGCTTGGGTTTCCTCTTTTTTCAAAACTCTGTGCAATGATAAAATACAGTCCTGCTATTATAGGGTCTCAGCTCTACCATCAGGGACAAATCAGGCTTTTGAAGTTTAATGTTACATATATAGACAGTCCCTGGGATATGAACATCCTAGTTACAAACAATCTGTAGTTACAAGCCAACTCCTATCAAGCCTCGATATTCAAATTTTGAGGTACAAGCTATGGTTTGTAATAACAAATGGGAAGTACTTTGGGACACGCACCAAAACATTATGACTATGTCATGTTAAAAATATATCTGGAAGAGCATCCAAATTTTTTTATATACATAGAAAAGTACACTATGTACCATATAATAAGACAAACTTTTGACTAATGGACATTAGATATGAAACATATCTAAATGTTCTGATTTATGTTCAAGTTTGACCTAAAGATAGATTTAGGACTGAACTACTTCATAATCCAGGGATTATCTGTAGTAAAAGCCGAAATCCTGGGAGGTGCAAATGGTTAACACGTTTAGCGTCAAAAAGTTGAAGGTTTGATCCCACCCAGAGGTGCCTTGGAAGAAAAGTGTGGCAACCTACTCCCAAAAAATCAGCACAACAGCTCTACTTTGAACACATCGGGTCGCCATAAGTCATGATTAACTCAAGGACAACTGGTTACAGATTAAAGTAAAGCCAAACAGTACTGACACAAAGAAATGAGAAGAACCCTCCCAGCTGTACAGAAATGCGGCGCATTAGAAGAGCCTCCGTGCACTCACGGTAGTAGAGCACGCCACACTTACTCTGCGTAGCACTCACAGTGGCAGCTGGCTTTAAGGCCCTGTTCACAGGAGGCGAGTGACTAGCGGAACTGGGTGCATCACTTTTATTAGGTTGCTCCACAAATACGTTCAGCAAAGAGTTGTTCTGATGAGTGGAAAAGCAGGACAAAGCACTTCCATCAATCTGCTGAGACAGCTCAGGCGTTTCGGCACTGTGCATCTGACCTCGGGCTAATTCTTGCTTCTTGAGTTGATCTTCAAAAAACAGAAACTGCTCGGATTCTAGCTGCTGCTGGCGCATCTGAGCAATCCGCTTCCTCTCCGCCTCTATCAGTTTCTGATGCTCCAACTTTTTAAGAATTTCTGCTTTATATTTGTTCTGAAAAAAGGTGGTTGCCAGAATAATAGATTAGTTTCTAAAGAAAAAGCATCAAGCTGGAATTAGACACGCTCTCACCTCCTAGCAGAGAGACATAGCTAGATATTATGACAAGTCCTCAGGGATACTCATGAAACACTGAGGAAAATAGACATCATCATCCAAAAGCCCCTTGATCTGATTCAGACAGCAGTTCCAGGTCCACTCATAGGTTACCAGAGATAAACTATGACAATCAAGTTCCCTCCATTCCACTACACTTCTAACTCCTGGAAACTCAATGGCAGTGTTGTCTGCTCAGCCTAACTGTCTAGACCATCTGGAACCAAATATCTCAGAAATAATTGTATCACCCTAGACTATACATGCCAATTGAATGGTAGAGTGACTACTAAACATATGTGGTTTTAAATTAAATTTTAAATGAATTAAAACTATATAAAATATTTCATAAGTTATCCTGCTATTGTTGCTGTAAAGTGACGTCACATTGGTTCCAACTCATAGTGACTCTGTATAGGGTTTCAGAGGCTGTATATATTTGCAGGAACAGAAAGCCTCAAATTTCTTCCTTGGAGTGGCTGGTGGACTCGAACTGCTGACCTTGTGGTTCTGCTGTCCAATGCTTATCCTACAGAGCCACCACACTCCCCTTAGTCATACTAGTCACATTTTAAACACTCAATAGCTACATCAGACAGAGGCTACCACATTGGACAGTGTCATAGAAATGGCTTATCACAGAAAGTGTGATTGGGCATTGCTACCCTCGAGCCTCTAGTGCTCATATTGCTGGAGCTTTAAGGAGTGGAGGAGATGCCTGCATAGAATCACTAACAATCAGCTTTCAAAATGTGGCTCTGTCAGAATCAACAGAGATTTTCGTTAAAGACGCAGGTTCCCAAGCTCCCCAGTCCTAACAAAATATCCAGGGATTAGACCAAAGAATATAATATTTTAAATAAGCTCTTCCAATGACTTTGATGGAAATTAAATTTTGAGAGGTGCTGTAAGATGGGAATGGAGTGGGTAAGGCTGTTGACAATACCACTTCCATACATGAGTTACCCTGGAAATCTTTTTAGTTAAAATGAAGATGCTGATGAAGCAGGTTTGGGGTGGGGCCTGAGTTTCTGTATTTTGAACAAGCTCCCAGATGCCCATGTTGCTGGTAGCCAGGGTTCCCAGGCATCTCTGTTCATCTGTGCGAGGCTCAATGCTGCATTATTCCCCACAAGAGATTTCTATATGCTATACACTCAGAATAAACATGGTGGACTCTGAAGTAATTGGCGTCACCAGAGGCAGCCTGGCCATGCACAGAACATGGACTAGGTAACAAGGTTGTTCCTGCCAGGTGACTGTGGAAGGTATGATTATTCACATTGCTGAACATGGAAGAAACACCTGGACATGGGCTTTGTCCTTCATTCCTGTTGCTTTGCCTTTGCCTCCAAGATCATTTTATTCTAAACCTACTTGTCAATATCCACACTTGAGGGAAACTTCTGGTTTCAACATTCCCTCTGCCATTTGGTTAACTACCTCACTCAGCCCAGTCTTTTGATCATGCCCATAGGAAGTCTTGGTGTGGCACTGTGGGTTAATGCGCCAGACTGCAAAGCCGTTTGAACTGTAAGGTCGGTGGTTCAAGCTCACCAGCTGCTCTGTGATCATCTTCAAAGTTAATGAATTGATCTGAAATGACAGTCATTGAAGGTAACAACATCCAAAGCAAATAACCAAATAACAAACCTAAATAACTACATGAACCCTTTCTAATACTACTATAAAAATTAAGGATGAATGTTTTGAATTTGTTGTTGTTGTTGTTAAGTGCCGCTGAGTCAGTTCCAACTCATAGAGATCCTGTATAGGTTTCTGAGGAGCAGCTGGTGGGTGGGTTTGAACTATCGACCTTGTGGTTCGCCGTCCTGTGCTGATCCTACAGTGCCACCCCAGGAGTACCCCATAAACTGAAAGGCCAGTTTCTTGTTCCGTGCCTTTCTGTTTTGTAGAAATTATTATCATGTTCGCTCTTTACCAACAATCCAGAAGTCATCATTTCTTGGTAACAAAATTACATTTTTCCAATATGATCAGCTATTCATCCATCCCAATGTAACACTGACTAAATTTACAATGTGTTCACATTTCCCAGGCCTACATAATTAATACATCAGAAACCATAAACTGCTCTCCCTACCTCCTACTGTCTCTGTTCATCTGGCAAAAGGGTAGCCATCTGGCTCTATGTTACATTGGCGAAAGTTAGGCAAAAAGCTCAATTTCAATCACTGTAGGAAATCTATTTTCTAATTTTTCACTTTATGAGCTATTGTGGAGAAATAATAAGACCACATCTTTGGTGCAAGTGCTTAACCTAGACATTATGAATTTTTTATTGGTTTTACATCACTGCATCTTTAATTTTTAATTTAAATGCATATGACATTTGGAAAGCTCATCATGGGAAAATTAAACTAAAAAAATATTTGCACAGAAAACAGTCATGAAATAAAGGTACCAATTGAAACTTACTTTGCTTTGCAAATATTCTTGGAATTCTAGGTTATATTTCTTTAAAAGGTCCTTTTTCAATTCATCTGTCCTTGGGAATGCAATCTCCTTCAGTTTCTTTTAAAAATATATACACATATTGATTAGTGGGGATTTTCAGTATACTCTTTCAGATCATCAACTGAGAAAGAAAAGCAGCTGGTAGGTGTATTAGAAATCAAGTCACACGAGGAACCAAAGGTAATGGTAGAACAACAAACCTCTCCTTTCTAGGACTCCAAAATATGATTTTCTGACAAGGAAGGGGGAAAAAATCCTTCTGGTAAACTATCATTGGCTCCACTAGTTGGATAAGCATTTTATTTAGCCAGGTTCCCCATTTTGAGATAGTGGGTTTGTAAGTACACCTTCTACTGTATGTAAATCAATATAGCAATAGAGGCAGATTATAAAAATCAGTTGGAGTACTTTATAGAAATACAGTTCCCCAGGAAACCTGATGTTCAACTATTCCTTCCCACCACCTGGTTTTTTTTTTAGAGATGAGGAAAAAAGGGCCTAAAGAGACCAAAAGACTTGTCTAGTGTCATACTAGACATCTAGGGTATCCGTCAGAACTAGAACTCAGGTCTCCTAAACTCTAACCAGGGCTCTTCCACTAAAATTTCTGTTCTCTTCATCCATTCTCATTCATTCATTCATTCTACCCACTAATCCAACAAACATACAATAATATATATATATATATAAAGGAGCTCTGGTAGCGTAGTGGTTACGAATCGGGCTGCGAACCTTAAGGTCAGCGGTTCGAAACTACCAGCCGCTCCGCGGGAGA